GTGAACGTTTGATAGGCAGAAAAATGTATTTTAGAAAGGAAATAAGAAATGTATTTGGGTAAGTGCATTTTTCATTGCCTTTTAGAAAACAATTTACTACCTATCAAACATTGCAAAGATGTGCCTGCACTTTTCAGAGCAAATTATCTAAATGTTTATCATCATTCAAAAATAAAAGTAGAAAGAAAACCAGGAATTTATGTCAATGTTCTGTCCATTAATAAACCAGCAGAAATGCTTTAGTAACAAAAGTTAAAAGTTTGAATATAATCCTTAGTCCTGACACAGTGATAAACAGATAAATGGAAGCCATATTATGGCATCCAAAATGAGACTTCTCTTATCACTTATTTATTTTCGCATAAATAACAGCATTCCTCACAAATGCCCCGAACCTTCACCATTATAGCACACCTCTGGCTTCTCTTTCTTGTTACTATGTACATCAATCTGGCTTGGTGATTGCAGGGAGAAGACATTTGGCTTGGTGAGTTATACAAATTCCGTAATGCTTAAATTAACTTTTGAATTGCAAGCGGGTAGCTGATCCAAAAACATTGCCTCAACTTTCCAGAAATGTATGAGGAAAAAAACACAAAGATATCCCCAGAAAAAATCAAAAACCCACCATGTGACGTAACAGAACCTCTATCCAACCTATCACATGCTCTGTGTAATTATTAAGACTCTGAAACTCCTATCTCAAGCTCAAAAGTGGTACCCTCAAATGGGGGTAAAAGTAATACAAATGAAAGGAAAGCAATATATGATCTGAACTTAGGAAGAAAGACAGATTATGCAATTTGGATCAGTGGTAAGATCATACCTTTCTGTAGCAGATTCAAGTAGAATCAACAGCTAAAAGGCGAAACTGATTTGGATGGTTGTAAGGGATAGAACAAGAGGGAGGATATTCCCTCTTTCTGAGAGAGAAAATGACGAAAGAGTGGAGAAACACAAAGGACATTTATACTGGTTGTTGATTTTGAATATATTGATAAAGAATTTTGGAGGCAGTGTTTGGTGCCGAAAGAGAGAGAAAGAAAAGCAATATAAAAAAGCACGATGCTTGAGTACTTGACTGACTTTATTGTCCAGCTAACGGAGGGACCCAGTAGCGAAAATTTCTAGTTGTCTCCGCCTGCTTACTGAGGAAAAGCAGATGATGAGAGGGACGTAGCTATACGTGTGTACGTTGCTCGCAGGTTAGAGAAGAGTGAAGACCAATGAGAAGATAATCTTTGTGTGCATTTTTTTTTTTTTTTTGGATCATTTCTTTTTCTTGCACATCCTCGTATTTTCTGCTGATCTTATCTCAATGTTGTGTCTGCTAATATCTATCTTTTTCAACAGAATTATTTTCCTTTGGCTTTCATGAAATGTCGGTTTGTTGGAAATTTTTTTTAAATACATTGCTATACAAAAACCATGTAACAAAATTAAAATTTAATCATACTTAATACCAAGAAACTTCTATAATCTTGTGAGGTTCATCGAAGATCATAATATCAAAATTAGAAGGTATGTTGAAAATTTTAAAGGTTCTAATTAATTGCAGAAGTTTGAGGTTGTTGTCAACAGTTAATACTGCCATAAAATATAAAATTTGTCATGTTTTATAATTGAAAAAATATAATTGTTAGTTCTTATAATTTTATATCTTTTGATATATATCCCTAAAATATTTTTTCATTATGCAAGATTCATTTAGTTTTTCTTGCATGCAATATTAGTCTTTTTACTTTTAAATATGTCCAAAAAGGCTATGAAATGACACTAACATTGTCAAATATGTTGACAGTTAACTTGTGACTAACATCATTAATATTTGCTGAATGGAATTATGATCCAGAAAATTAACAATGTTGTTTACTCTTATTTTATTTCAAGTTTCAATCTGTTGAAACATAATTTCACCTCAATACAAAAATTAACGATGTTACTCACAAGTCAGCATATTTAGTATGTGTTTGATTTTTAGTTTATATATAACAAAAACACATTTGAGATATCCAATTATTTATTAGATTTGACAAAAGCACATCTCAAATAAAATTTAAATGTACTTTTAAGGGTTATTCAAACATACCTTTGATATTATTAATGCCACCTCAACATATTGAAAAATAGAAAGTATAATGTTGCACATAGGATAAACTAGAAGAACTTAAAACAATAAAAAAAAAAAACTATAGAAATTAATAGTCATGTTTTGCCTTTATACTTTCATTGCCTTTCAAGTCCTCTAGGGCTGTATTTTTTTTTTCTCTCTCTCTTTTTACCTTCATCTTGCTATCCTCTCTCTACACTAAAAACCTTATTTAACCCTTCATTTAAGAGAATTATAAAAACTCTATTTCACTGAAACGAAATGTTGAGATTTTGAGAAAGAAGACTGACTCCTCCTACTCTTTTATCCCTATCAAAGGTTTATACCAGCAATTTGAAGGAGTCTTCATCGTCTTATATGCTATATCCACAATTCAAAACATTATACCATGCTTGTGAGAGGATACAAAGTATCAAGTGAAGCTAGAGAGTACCATTTTCGTAGGCTTAGGGTTTAGGATTTATGTACATCTAAACCTGGTAATTCAAGCAGCCCAAGCTCAATTCAAGCTTGATTTGAATAAATCGAGCTTAAAAATATTTTACCATATAGAAAAAGCCCATATGATCAAGTTTGACTCTAATTTTTCAAGCTTTCAGACTTATCTAATTTAGCTCAAATACCCAAATCGTTAAATATTATTTTTTTTATTTTTGTTTTTATCTAATGTAAATTTTCATTTAAAAAATTAATATTTTTAATTTTTATATTATTTATTAATAATAAGGAATTCAGGTATTTGGGTCTGAGCTTGGCCTGAATTTCTTTAGATTTATTCAGGTAGCCCAAATAAGTTTAAAGTAAAGAAAAATTTTTAAATTTTCAAGCTCGATCCTTAGATTTTTCGACCTTATTAAGACTGCCCTATCAAGTTTGATCCAAATTAATGTATTTATATACATATCTAATTCTCTATCATCCAAATTTCCCAAAAAACATTACCAAAGAGAAGCAAAAAAAAAAAAAACATTTCAAGAAACCTTTTTTTCATGCTAGAACTGTAGATTTAGTGAAGAGATGAGTATTTTTTTTTTAATGGAGAAGGGATGTGGTGTCAATCATGTAAGAAATACAATCAAATATTAAATATAAATACTTTTTTTGATGAGTATTTAAATTTTACTTCATTATATTATAAGAAATTAACATCTTTCACTAAATTCAATTCTCATTGATAGAGTTGGTTTGATTTCAGTCTGGTTACAAAACCAAATAAAGAACACTTTTTTTGTGCCATTTTTTAAATACTACTCTTAATGAGATAATAAGTATCAGCAGACATGAATGATTAGTTTCCTATGACCATGTCTCCTGAACAGCAAACTTGAGCATTGTTTGGTGAGCTAAGCATGCTTATTTTTCGTAGAAGATAATCACTGTATTTCGAAACCCTGCTCCTCAGTTATCCCCAGAAAGATTTTACCATAATATTTATAAATTTAAAATTAGCTTGTGTTGAATTTTTAATAGTTTTTATTTTAATATATATATATATATATATATACAGTAAACAAAATTTTGGTAAATATCTGGTTCTTAGTCTTAACATACCAACAGTGGTAAAAAATGAGATTTCAAATAATTTGGGCATTCCACCTTCTTTTGATAAATATTTGGTATTTGTCCGATTGATGCATATAAAGATAAATATATCTCATCTTGGTCAAAACAAATATATATATATTTGGTATTTGTCCGATTGATGCATAAAAAGATAAATATATCTTATCTTGGTCAAAACAAATATATGTATTCTTTCCATTAAAAAATGTAAGGCATTTTTAACCGAATCTCATCCCTCAATAAAGTAGATACCTACTTTCAAATTAACCCTATTTTTTCATATTTATCCCTATTAAATACCTATAATAAATATAAAATTATTATCAATAGGGTACTTTTAAAAAAAAGGCAATGATTACATCTCAAAAGAATAAAAATGTCTTATATTTTTTAACATTCAACTCCTCAAAAAATATTTTTTATTTTTGAACGAAAAGAGTATATATATATATATATAAAAAGATAAATATGCGATTTTTCCCCCTCAAATACTTGACTCAATAGACAAAAAGAAATTGTCGTGGAAGGGTAAAGGCCTGTTTAGCTTTTATTTTCAAAATAGTTTTTGTTTTAAAACGAAAATTAAAAACTTTGTTGGATGAGTGTTTTGAATCTAATTATTTCTAAAATTATTCTCATTTTTTAATAGAAACATCTTAAAATTGTTTTCATTTTATTATTCTTATTTTTTAAATACATTACATTTAATTATTAAAAATTATAATTACCTTGACCAATAATTATCATAAGCTATCACCATTAACTGCTAGTAATCATTATTGTTGACTGATTTTTAAATTCTAAAATTGTTTTTAAATTAACACAATAAAAAATATTTTTTATTTTATTTTGAAAAACAATTGTATAAAACTATATTACAAAATAGTTTTTAAAAATAAAAAATGAAAACAGAAACCAAACATGTCTTAAATATTTGTCTCAAGTTCCTGGGTTAACTCTAATCAAATGTGTTTTGTCTACTTCAAATATCTACATGTTGTCTTGCCTTAAATTATCAATGAAGTTGTGTTCTTTAATGGATGTCAAGCTTTTAGATTTTTTTAGGGGATTCAATGGTTCATAGAAGCAAATTCATCTAGCAAATAAAAAAAAAAAGATTTACATTTGGCTTTTAGACCTATGGAATCTAGAGATTTAGGATTAAAAAGTAATATCCAAATGAATCTTGCTCTTCTGGATAAACAAATTTGGAGAATGATCTCTGCAGAGCCTCATTCTCTTTTTGGCAATACGCTGAAATTTAACACATTGACTCCAGTCACTCTACAAATTGATTATTATGAGAATTTGATTGAGAATTTTCAAATTTTAAAAAATAGCATAATCAATTATATTCAAAATCAATCATGATAACTAATTTTTTTCTAATGGATATACAAACAAACCTTTATAGTAAAAACTTCCGTTTTATAACTTACAATTCAAACTCACGCTGTATGTCACCCCTTCCCTAATCAAGGTTTTGATCTTAAACGTGATTCGAAGTCAAAATGTGCTTGGTTTTAAAGTTCCTAAATATGGTTTCAGAAATTGCGGCGATCGGTAACCGCTCTTGGCAAAACGTGGTTTGGACTTCAAAATCACGATTTCCAGCATCGGAATACAACTAACAGGCACTTGTGCATGGCGAATAATATATTATGGTTCTTAGCCAATTGAAAAATGAATAGCTTTTTCTTTTTGCCCAATGAAAAATGAAGATCTGACTAAGATCACGAAGTGTATTTGAAGCTCCTGGTTTCAAGTCCACATGATTTGATAAAGGGAATTCTTTTCGCCATCAACACACAGTGAGCTTTAATCTCTATACATAACACCGTGTAGCAGCTTTGATCTTTACTCATAAAAATGTTGATCCTTTATCTGCTCGTTAGAAGGTATAAATTAGATATACAACTTTGCAAAGAGAGAAAAACTCAAAACTTCAGCCGAAGGGCTACTCTAGAAAATGAATGAAATGGGAAAAAATGATACTTAAATGCTAACCACAAGGATATAGCTAATTCAACCCCCAAAAAAATAAAAAAAGTTAAAAGGATATTTTATAAGCTACACCATGAATATGTAATGGTATTACATTTGCACCTTGTTAAACAAATGAGGCCTAATCAAGTTCAAGGGCATGCATTATACCTTTAAATTATAAAAGGTTGCATGTGGGATTGTGCTAGAGATCTGGTGTCAGGCGAGATGTATGCCACTAGGCCATCAGGATGGGCATGCATTGTACTGAAATACAAAGATCAAGTGTAAACCTGGGCAAGCCCTGCCAGGTGTTCACCCAACTTTGTAATTCTCTGTCCCCTTCTTCCACTTCCAGATTCCTTGCTTGTTTTGACTTTTGAAAACTTAACCAAATGTCCATCTGACTGTTCTTCTGTAACGATTGATGTAGCACTATGTGGCAATTACATGTGGATTATAATAAAAAACTGGCACAATAAAAGATGTGCACAAATATTCAAACAACTGCAGGCAGTGAAAGGGGAAAAGTTGACCTGTCAGCAGCTAATATCCAACCTAATCGATAGGGCATCAAAATCCAACAGTATTGGCTGCAAAATTGATTGCCTCACCACATTTATAACATGTTACCAGTTTCTGGTTTCCAGGAATGCTTTTTAGTCACACAGCGGCTCCTTGACAAGAAGATTCATCTTCTCCTGAAGAAATTTGAGCACATCTTCTCTTCCTTCCTTAATAAGCAACTGTCTTAGCTTCCCAAATGTGACACCTGATGGCCGAATTCCCTTCTCTATCATATCCTCCAATAAAACACAAGCTTCTGTAACATTGCCCTTCTCACACAGCCCATTTATAAGCACTGCAAAAGTGTGCATGCTTGGGACAAACCGTTTTAGTTTCATATATTTCCATATCTTCAGAGCCCTCTCCAAATCATTTCCCTCACAAAACATTTTTATCATCATTGTATAAGTATCAGCATCTGGTTCGCAAGACTTGATCATCCTGCGGAAGACACCATAAGCCTCATCACTCTCATCATTACCAATCAAGCTGCTTATGATTATGTTATAGGTCCTAGAATTAGGAATGACACCCTTGCATTCCATTTCGTTTAAGACTCTATACACGTTTTTAAATTTGTTTACTTTACAAAAAGCACTGATCAAGGCATTATAAACCACAATATCTGCCTTAACTCCATTCCTTTCCATCTCTAGGAATGTATCAATAGCATCTTCAATCCGAAGTTCAACTCCATATGTATGAACCAGGACACTATAAATGAAAGATGTTGGCCTGCAATTGTTGGCATCCATGTCCTTAACAACCTCAACAGCCTCATCAACTCTTCCTGCTTTACAAAGAACGTCAACCATTATGCCATAGGTGACTATATCAGGGTTGCATCCCATGTCAACCATTTCTCTGAAAATCTCTCTTGCTTTTGGAAGATTTGGAGCCTTTCCCCATCCCTCAAGCAATATGCTGTAAGTTTTTGAGTCTGGAACAAATCGATCCTTTGTATGGTCAAAGATCTCTTGAGCCTTCCTTACATTCTTGGACTTGCATAAAGCGCTCAGCAAACCATTGAAGGCAGCTAGATTCGGAGATATATTATATTTTTCCATGACATTAAATGTGTAAAGGGCCTCATCTACCTTCTGAGCCCTAGCATAATTTCTCATAATAATACAAAAGGTCTCAACATTTAGCATTTCCTTTTTCTTCATAGCATTTACCAGGTCCCACATGATTTGATACTGCCTTATCTTTGCCAAAGATTTGATCATTGTGTGGTATGCCCTGATGCTGTGTGAGTAATTTTGCTGCTTCTCAGCCCATTCAAAAAACCTATACGCCACCATACCAGCATTCTCAAATCTCTTAAGAACATTCTCAACTATATCTGGTGAAACTCTAATTCCAGTTTGATTAAGAGCAGTATCAAGTGCTAATGTGGGAGACGACATTATAACCTTGCATAATTTTCTAGTTATATCTAAAATGTCCTGCAGTTGTTCATTTGCACAGTACATTTTGGCAAAAACCCTCCAATTCAAGTATAACTTTCTTCTGGGGTCACAAAGTTTAATCATTGCTTAACCAAAACAAGGAATCACAGTTCACCTGAATCGCTGAAAAAATAACAGGGGCTTCAAATGCAATGATAAATTTTGATAACATATAATAAATATAAGTTTGTCTTCTTAGATAGAGCGCATTTTTTTTGTAAAATTTGCCAGAAGGAGGCAGAAAATTGATCAAACAATTCAACTATTGATCTGAACAACTACAAACTAATTGGCAGACGAAATGAAAACAGGCATGATTGAAGCATTAATAATTCATTCGGGCAGAAGTACCAGTGCTAGATACATATCTTAGATGAATGAGTATGTAATAGTAATAGGGTACATACCTGAATTGTATCATGCATGTTATAATTTAAAGTTTTTAAAATTCTATCAATTTTAACAGGGGAATCCCAGAGCACACTAGAATAAAGCTATAAATCCAAAAAATCCTAAACAAGATGTATGCTTGTATTAGAGAAATGGTCGGAAAGGAATTAGAGATCCTGCAATGAGCATGAATCATTTGTAAAAGAAATAAAGGGGCAAAATACAATTTGGAGAGGCAACACTGTCAAAGATTACCAATGTGAGGTTGATTTGACAGTCTTCTCCGGGAACTCAAAAAGGGCCAGAAATAAAATGCGGCAATTCAATGCACTTCACTGTAAGGTGCAACAGTGAGAACCACAGATGCCATGAAAACTTGTCAATGAAGCCATTACCAACAATTGCTGCATACGCTCATTCTCTTCACAACATCAACAAGTTTCTTGCTTGCAGTGATAATAGTTTTTGTATGTTATTGTTATGGTTTTTGTTTTGCACTCATCTGTGTGCTTAAAATAAAATGGACTCCAACTTCAGTTTGAAAAATCATCAAAAGCATGAGAGGGGGAAGGGAGAGAGAGCTAATGATAGCTTACCTGCAGATGCATTGGCCAGCAGAGATTCACTGTTGTCTGTTGCACCGATGCAGTGCTGTCAAATGGAAAGGAGAAGCAAGCCACTACTCAATTCAGCCAATCATCTCCTACACTGACGCAGCACCCTTCAAGCAACCCTTTATGTTGTTGCTAATAACCCTGATGCAAGTCTCATCCCTGGCAGTGGCTCAACAATGGGTGCAATTGTGCAGAGGAGGAGCTTTGTGCCTCCCAAAAATCCTCAAATGATAGTTGGGTTTGATGAGGACTATCAATTGTGATACATCATACATGGTGGCGAGATTGAACTTTGACTGGTCCAGAAATGAATGGCTGGGATCTAAAGTTTTTAACTGATCATTTTTAATTAATTACTCCTTTGATAAAAAAATATAAGTAGTTTTTAGGAAAAATCTGCATACGAATAAAGTTCTCATTCCCATAAAAATATATATTGTTTTTCCTTTTTGCCCCTAGAAATTACCGGTGTACTCCATGATAAGTGAGGGATATATTTACACAAAGATATAGGTTAATAAATACAAGAGATAAAATAGGGGAAAAAATTTACATGTACTAGATTGCTTATATTTTCATGGTCAACCTATTTTCATGTCATCAGTACATTTTTACTATGTTAGCAAAGGTGTTAGTAGAATTACAGCAAATTACCTTCGCTAATGTCATCTAATGGTCTTGACGGCATATGACGTTCTCAAGTAACCCATTTTTGGTAAGAGGATAGTGGTTGATCAAAACTTTGCATGTTGTTGAAATCCTTGTCATTGGAATGTTCTCAAGTAACTTTGTTCGGCTCCATATATCGCTCCTCATTTAGTGTAGAATTTTAGATACAGACCTATTTAAGAAAGGAGAAGTGGTTTTGAGATTCTTTGATAACCTGCATTGGTGAGGAGTGCTTACCATGATGAAGAATAATTTTTTCCCTATCAGATTAGATGCAAAATGAGAAAAAAGCTTTCTAGGATCTGTTGTTTCCCATTTGAAAACAAATAGTCAGAAATTTGGATAAGCCAAGAAACCAAACCCATATTTACAATAACATACGACTGAATAGGAAGAGCTAGCCCTAAATAGGGGCAAAAGAAAAAATAATTATCAATGAATTTTGCAGCTTCACTACTAAAACTGCAAGTTGATTTAACTTGTAAATGATGATTAAGAAGAATGTCACCCAAAGGAATAACTCCATGTATTAATTTTCAAATGAACAGAAGATTTTTATAAGGAAGGTGTAGCTTCCATAAAAGAGACGAAATCTTAGCCGATGAAAACCTGTTAGAAGCTTGTCCTTTAGATAGGATAGTGAAACCTTTTTTAAAACAGGGTACATATAACATCCCAAAATTTAAAATAAGGATTAAATAAATTAATTGGGAGGTGTAATTAGTTAATTAAGGTAATTGGATGTTACTTAGGGACTTTGGATGATCATTTGGGTCTATTAGATCCTATATGGGACTTAAAATAGGGCCTAGGGGATTTTTGGGCTTTAGAAGGATTGCCGTTCAGAGCAATTCACTGCACGGATGGCCTTATTGGCCACGGCGGATGCTGTGAATTTTAAAATTCACAAAAAGCTTATTGGGCAGCCAGACAGAGAAAGTTTGAGACAGGTTCGGAAGAGAGAGGCGACTGTGCTTTGCTAGGGTTCTATTTTGGCACCTATTTCCAGTGTTTTGAAGCCTCTTCTCTACCCGGTGATTAGGCGCAGGAAACTCCTATTAGTTTCGTTAGTCTTGGCATTAGATGATGACATAATGCGAACAAAGGGATGAATCACAGAATCAAAATCAAAAATTAAATAACACAGCAGCAACCAAGACAATAATGCCCTCAGATCGAAGCAAGACATGAATAAGCCTTACAACAGATTGCATCTATTATACAGATCAAATTCAAGGACGACAGCTTTTCAGGTGTAAATTCTAAGATGTCAATTCAGGGGGTCACCTATTATGACTAGTGAAATATAATACAGAACAAATTTAAACCAGAATCAGAGAACAGAACTAGAAGTACCTGAAGGCCGAAGCAGAGACTTGAATCGCAAGCTGATGGAGTCAGAGGGCAAGCACCTGAAGCAACTTGCCGTCGTGACTCGCTGGCACCTAGAGGAGTCCGTCGCGAGCAGTCCGTCGCTGAGATCGAGCTGGCCAAGAAATGAGCACTGTGAGGGAGGAGAGGCCAAGAATCTGAAATCGTGAGCGAGCAGCGAGAGTACCGTGAGTCACTTGTCGAGATTGAGGGATCGAGATCCCAGATTGCGATGCCGAGAGGGAGGAGAGGCTGAGCCACAGACCGTGAGGCCACGAACTAAAGGGAGGAGAGGCAGAGAGAGCAAGTCCGCAGTGTTGTCGCTGACACGGTGTGTCTCTAGATCAGGGGTGAAAGGGGGAAAAGAAGAGAAGAGGAAACTCAGCTCAGAGGGCTGACTGAGGCCAAGGCCGTTTTTCTAATGCCCCTCAAGGTCAGGCTTCAAAACTGGACTTTTTAAAAAACAATCAATTTTTTAAACAGAAGCCCTTATAAAAAATGGGTTTTAATAAGTTGTCTTTCAAGCTCGATCTTTTCTCCTATTCTATCTATTATAGTTTAGGTTGATTTGATTTTTTCATGTCATGAAATATTAAATATTTGTTAAATAAAATTTAATAAATATTTATTTTAATAAAATCATGGTAAAAATATTAAATAATTTAGATATTATTTATAAATATTTATTTAAAATTTATAAATTATTTTTTAAAATATTAACAGTCCAAATAAATTTTTAAGAAATTTATAATTTATAAATTATGTGTGAAAATTTGTAAATAATAATATTTACAAATAAATTAAGATTGTTGACTTCTCATCTTTCGCCCAAAGAATAAATTCTTGTTCTCACAATTTTTTGTCCACATGTTGTAACTTGAGTTATTGTGTCTGCTCATCTTTGAGAGTTCCACTGAAATACACACAAGCCTTAAAGTTGTACTCAAGTTTGCCTAAATTTAAACCTTAACCATCTGAGCCAAATAGTTTTATCAAGCGTTCAAACTTGTCAAACCCATGCTTGCTCACAAGTTCTAGATGCCATCCACATGTTTTCTTGAAGATTTTCTGCCTCATTCGTTCATGCAAGGATGAACCTAAGATGAGAGAGTTTTAATGTACTGACATGCATTTAATAAATTTCATAGGTAAAGTATTTTTTTCCTTAATTTCTCTTTTTATACATGTAATGCAATAGTTCTAAACAGCTAGTTGAAATTTTTAATAATTATAATATTTCTCACACTAAATCTCATTTAAGTAAATGGGTAATAAATTAACACTTACATTTAGTAGTAAACTAGTAAAGCACTCGTGCTCTGTACGGATTTGATATTACAGTTTTTATAAAGAAGTATCAATTTTGTGAGAAGATCTTTCTCAAAAGAATAACTTATAACATATCATCTCCATATCATTCTATAAACAGTAGGGCTACGCAATTATCTTCTTCAATCTTAAATGGGTATATTAGAGTTAAGTAAATGATAAAAACTAAATGCATATACTGTAAACGGATGTGATTGGAAGCAAATTTAAAAAAATTCATAATTAATTAAATCAAATTATCAAATATTTCCCTATAAAGAATATTAGAAGTTCTGCTTGTGAATTACCATCCTTATCAAAAACTAATATTTTTGAACCCTACTTGCTTCAAACACAAGAAACAGCAAAGTATAACTGGCCGTGCATGAAAACAGTACGAGGCAGGTACAAATTGACATAACATAGTCTTTAGCCTTGACTCTTATTAATGGTCACCGTAAAGGCCAACATACTAGAAAACTACCTCTTTCTCATATTAAATGGTAACTTGAAATCAGATGAACATATAGCAATACATGATATACACACTTTCGTCCATGCAATTGACTTAGATATTTCGTAGGCTTTAATAACATGTTTTTCAATTTGTGTAACTATGAGACATGTATTATTGCACAATCCTATAGACTTATCAATGTTCTACATTAAAATAATTAGGGCACTTACTTTAAGCCTTGTTTCATGATTCGAGAGGCTTGACATTGTAATTGCATTAATAAAATTTGTAGAGTATAGGTCATCAAATGAATTCATGTCCCTATCATCTTTTAGAACACTATTAGAGCTAAAGTATACAACTTCCTCTTTAAGAAGTAAGGACAACATGTACCCATTTACTTCTTCAATCATAGTCAATGTAGTAGCTAATATAACCATATCTTTAAAATACGAATAATTACATATATTATTATGAAAATATGTGAAACTCAAATCTGATGCACACAAATATGTTTTACCGCAAGTGTATGGTTTGTAATTAATAAGTAGCAAATCAAGGTCGATCCCATAAAGCATTAAGTTAATTAGTAATTAGATAATAAAGTTTTCATTTTCATTTAAGTTGAGTAAAGCAAGATATGGATTTAATTTTTGCAAAATAAGAATTGAAATTAGAAAAATGCATTAAAATTAAAATTTCAACAACCACAAATGATCAAGGCAACCTAGAGTGGCTAATCCCTTCTTCAATTCATAGAGCATGTAATTACCCAAATAAATTTATTTAATATTAATATGTTAATCTAGAGTATTAATAGAAATAATTATCTTTCGATTAATTACACCCCTCTCTTGAATTAATTTTCTATTTCTAACACAAAACCTAAGAGGTAAAATGGCACAAATTCACTCTATGTGATTATATGGGTCCAATAGGTATATTCTTATCATATTGGCAAATTAGAATAAATTCTAATCCCACATTACTCAATCTAATGGTCAAATTCAGATTTTCCTCTTCCAAGGCAAAACTTAAACTCCCAAATTCACAGTCAATGGGGACCAAGCATTAAGTAAACAAGCAAGCACAAGATTAAATAAACAAAACTAATATTAAGCTCAAATAAATAGTTCAAACATGCTCCAATCTAAGAATGAGTTCATAGCTACCTTAGATTAAGAGAAAATCAGCCATACATGGCTTCTATGATAGCAAAATCAGCAATATATACAGCAACATAAAGAGAAGAAGGAGAAGAAAAGCTTAATCAAAGCAATCTTGAGTAAAATTCTTAATTTTCCTCTAAACCCAAGCTTCTCCAACCCTTCTTTGGCTCTTTTCCCTCTTCTTGAACGTTTTGCAACTGCTGGAGGTGAAGAATGGTGAAAAATGAGGTGCCCAAGCCTTAAAAATTAACTGACAATCAAAGCTGTGCATTTTACTAAAATCGCGCTTCACTGCAGCGAATATGACCTGTTCAGATTTTCTTTTCAGATTTAATTCTTTTGATTTAGGCTTCGAAATTTTCTTCTTTAAGCCCCTAAATTGGGCCTCCTTACATGTGTAAAACCCAGAATTAATGCTAAAATTGGTCTACTAACTTCTAACATATTGCCAAGCCCATTTTTACATACATTCATCCACTTAATCATATTTTTGCTAATAAAATTTAAATAAATAACTTTCAATTACATTAAAAACACCAATAAATTTAATAAAATATTGAAAATCATCAAGCCCCCACACTTGAATGTTTGCTTGTCCTCAAGCAAAAGAAAATAACTATACAAAAATGGCAAAAGCAAATGTAAATATTTTAAGATCAAATGCAATTCAAACTTTCAAGAACTCAATTTAATGAGAAATCTTTCCTCCCTTCCAAAAAATAATAATAGCAACACTTAATTAAGCAAAGATAAATTCTAATACAGTCAAGTATTTATACTCTACACTTAAGGTGTCTAAGGGTTGTGTTTTACTTAATTCCACGTATTATAATTCATCTGTCATAAGGTTGTTTCTCATCTTAATATCCACTAAATTATGCCATTACACACACAAATTTAAAAGATGTTTGAAAGGTTGTAATGTTATTGGTAGGATAATGAAATGAAATTATTCAATGAGTTGAAATTACATACTCTAATTAGTACTAAGCATATTAAATGAGAATTAAGAATATTGAAGGATAAATCACAACTATTTACAAGAGGTATCAATGAAGATCAACATCCTTTTTTTTCACTTGATTTTTTTTTTGTATTTTCATCATTTTTCTTTAAACTTTCCATATTTTTTCCTTCTTTCTTCATCTTCTTTTCTTTTGTTTCCTATTTTTTTTCTTTTGAACCACTTATTAAACCCCAACTAAATTTTAAGTCCTTCATTTTGTTTCATGGATGTAACACTTAGCACTAACTAAAGTAGTAAATGGAAATGAAAATGGATAAGAAGTGGGTAAATCTTAGCAAATGGGTGAAACAAAAGATTTATATGAAAAAGGGATGGATATTTGGCCATACTAGCTAAAAAAATGAATGCCTAAATCATTGTTGTGCATGCAAATGGCTATTATAAGTCTCAACAAAGATTCAAAATAAGTTCTAGAGATGAAATCATAATAAGTATACTCTCTCTTAAAGGAAATGAATATTTAGGCTCAAAATTCTCATAAGTTTTTTGGACAAACTATTGTCAATCATCCAAACTTAATCCATTGCCTATTTACTAAAATTCTAGGAAGGTAAGATTGACTTCTAATCAAATTTAATTTTTTCAAGGTCAAATCAATCCAACCTTTTCCACATTCACAAGAAAAACAAACCAACAAAATGATTAAAACAAAATGTTTACGAGATTTTTAAAATTTTAAAATTTTTTTATCATTTTTTTACTATATACAAAATATACAACCAACTCTTAAAAAAATTTAAAGACAAGCAAAATACCAAATGTAATAGCAAGTACCCCTTCCCCCACACTTAAATTAAACATTGTCCTAAATGTTTAAAGAAAGAAAACAAATAAGAAGATAGGGACACTGAAACTTCCCTGACTAACAGACGTGGCGAGTTAACAGATAGAAAGACTTTGAGAGAGGGATGAGAGTGACATATCCTCAAGAAAATACAGTACCTGCTAATAGCATCCAATAGAAAAGTGGATAAGTTGGAGATAAAAAAATTAAATACAGACCATCAAATAGTAAGTTTTGAATTATCAATTACAACCCTAAGAGAATAAGAGCCAAACTAAGTAGTCAAAGAAAAAAAATCTAAAAATAAGAGAAAAGACAAAATTCCATCAGAATAGAAGCTCAGGGTAACAACAAGAGTAACAAGAGAAGGAACCAATGATGGAGCTCAAAGCTCAAAATCTAGCACATTAATTCTCTTCCATTGTTTTAATTAAATCTTGCATGGAATCTAATTATTACTTCATCTAGATGGCTTAACTTTCATTTGATGATATTTGATTAGAATTCTTTGATGTTTGTCCTTTCTTAGCCACCCAACTATGAATAAAAGCATGTCATCCTTCAGTAAATAACAAGGTAAGTGCCACCAAATATTACAAATAGGAGGGTTGATGACTAAAGGAATAAGAGAAGAGTAAATCTCTATG